GTGTCCGGCTTGTGGGAGGTGGGGATGGGGTGTTGGGGCAACAACAGGGTTTGGGTGGTGTGGATTTGGGGCTGTTGTGAGGACATAAGGTATAGATCTATTTAAACAGCCAAAATCACACCGCTGTCCCTGGCTACCCAGCTGCGCGGAGAATGTCTTCTGGAGGAACATCAGGGCGATTCCTGTATGACAGTCTTGATACAAGATTGCTGCAGTCCTCAAAACCAGTGCCAGATTGCTGTGGCTTTTTCCAGATAGGAACGGTAGCACACTGCATCATCCATGCAGTTGGGAGAATGCCCATGATGAGCATGCAAGTGACTCATGCAAGTGATATGACCGCAAGCTGGCTATTCTTTGTATAATGGCATCCTAGCATGCCCCCGGGCTCAGCCATATCAAGTGAAAGGGTGAACTCCCAGCCAGTTAGACCAAGCTTGTGGAAAGTGTCTTTATTGCTCCCTAGTACAAAGAATCTACATATTCTGGTTAAGATGCCAGAGGATACAGTGGAGCAAATCCTTCACCTGGATGCAGGATAAGGCCTATCCTGAGAAATGTTGTGGTCTGCAGATGTCAGGATGTAGTTCTGGTTTGTGTGTTGAACTTGAATCACTGCACCGTCCTTTGGGAGCTTCTCATTCAGTTTTGTTTCGTTCTGTTTGCTCCCCAACGTTCAGTGGGCAACAAATGTGAAGACCCGTCACGGAAGCAAGTGGACACGGCTGACGCCCGGCGGTTTAGCGAGCAGATGGGAGTGCGGCTCTTTGAGACGAGCGCTAAGGAGAACCTCAATGTTGAAGAGGTACTGGATGGCGGCGGGGCATTAGTGGTGCTTAGGGGACGTTCCTGGTTGCCTGAACAACACGCTTCTCAGTCTGCCTGAGGGGGGGGGTTGCTTGTGAGGAGGTTAAGCCCCTCTGCTCAGTTCTCTCTCCCCTTACCCCAGATGTTCAACGCCATCACAGCCATGGTGCTCCGGACCAAACGGGAAAACCTAGCGCGACTCCAACAGCAAAACGAGGTGGTCAAAATCAACAAGCCCAAGAAGAAACCGACTGTCAAGAAATGCTGCTGAAATGGGGAGGGGGGACTTTTGTCTTTTCACCCCTCCCACTCCAAATTCGAAACGAGGACTGGACACTGTGGGTGGGGGCAGTAAAAATGTTGTGTGTGGGGGTTGGGATCTGGGTGGGAGGGGTATGGGAAAGAATGGCAGCCCCCTCTCCACGGCTGCCGGGATGGAAGAGTCAGATAAGTCCTGAAATTCCTCCTTGCTGGTGGGAGGGACGGTGTCTGCCGAAACGGGGCCGGGGGCAGACTGAGGAGCATTAAAAGATTCTGCTGAAACAAGTGGAGCACTCTGCTACGAGGTCATGAGAAGAACGGGCCTTTCTAAACCTCTGCAGTGTTGCCCGTAAACTCCCCCCCTTTATTTTACCCCTCTGCCCTGCCCCCTTGTTCAATCACTAGGAATAGGGGCAGGAAAACAAGGTGGACATTAACCTTTGAGAACCGTTCTCTGATTTACAGGCTCACTTGCGGTTAATGAGGCACAAGTCAGCGTGAGGAGGACCTAAGGAAGGCGTCTCAACATTTCACCTAGCAATACTTTCCCCCCTTTTGGTTTGCTCCGTTAAGGGCTGGGGTGGGTGGGTGGGAGGACTGCATTCTGGCCCGAGGGATGGGTTGGGAGGTGGGTGAGGAGCTTGGCCATGTTCCCCTCTTCTTGTTCTGTGGGACAGGAGCGTCCCTCACTTCCTACAGACCCTGGGCATTTAGGAGAAAAATGATGTCTGTTCATGACCAAATAGGACTGGGGCTGAACAAGTCTATTTCTTTGCCGGCAGGCTTGGCCTGTGGGTGCCAACTGGTCAGTCCAGCTTCCCCCCCTCCCCCCGGAAACCAACAGGGGGTGTGGTGGGGGGGGGCTTATGTGTGGGGGGCTCATCTCAACTAGAAGTTAGGAGAGGATGGCTGGAGCATCAGTTCTCTGCCCTGCAGTCATCAAGCTGTGTGGGTGTGTCAGGGCTGCAGTCTCATCTCCCCCCCTCCCCCCCCAGTCATTCATCCGGGGCCCCCTCTGTGCAATACGTTTTGCTTCTTGAATTATTTTATATACACACAAATGAATATGTATAGGATTAAAACTTTTTTTGTTTTGTTTTAACCCACTGCTAATGGCATTAAACTTGGTAAGGAGACACCACTGTTCAATAAAGGCGCATTTAGATATGAAACAGACTCAGATTTTTTTTATTTTCCCCAAGATGGGTTATCCCTCCTGAGGTCTTGGAGCCAGTGAGGGCATCACTCTGGGGATGGGATTGAAAGGCTGTTTTTATTGGTAGTCCAGTTGCCGTATCTCAACCTAAATCTATAGGGGGGGATTACAAGGATAAAATGGGATGTGGGGTGGCACATTAAGACCTAAGCACCTTTGGGCACCCTCTTGTCAATTACCGGCCCTAGTAGCCCAACCTCATCAGAGTTTGGACATGAAGCAGGGTTGGTACTTGGATGGGAGACCAACAAGGAAGACAGCGAGAAACCACCTCCTCTGATCTCTTGCCCTGAGGACCCCATGAGGAGGAACTTCGTAGGGTCGCCATGAGTTGGTTGCTTCACCTTACCCTTAGATTCCTATCAGAGAAAAAGAACAAACGGTTGCCCACAATTTACATCTGGAAGAGGATCCAACTATTGCAGTCTACTCGAAAATGTTCAGTATTGCTAAACTGGAGTAAAATGTCTCTGGTAAAACTTATAAGGCTGGATAATAGTGCCATTTGCTGAAAGTCTTGACAGGCCAGCCAGTAAGAAATCAGTGTGTTGCTGCAATGAGGGATGGAAGCTCATATTTCCATCTCTTCTTGTGTCACCCCCACTTCCTGCTGAAGTTGTGCGGAAGCGCCCAAAGAAGACGGGGTTGCCATCAGTGTCCGGATGGTGGGCACCACGGAGTTTCCAGGAGGGCTCCACAGGACAACTTCGGTGCAAGGGTTCCTTTGAGAAGGAGAGAAGTTGGTAGTTATTGATACAAATAATTCATTCTGGACTGTCGTCCTTCCCCATATCCAAAGTTATACTTACAGAGAGAGCAATACCTCTTCAGGTATAAGGCTGACCTCTCCAAGTGACCCCTGGAAGAGGGAAGGAAGCGTCAGCAGGGGGCAGTCCGGCATAATGAATTCCCCATCCACAACTACGTCGCCACAGTCATTTTCCTCTTCCGTCGAACTGGATTCTTCATTTACACTATCTTGGGACAGCCTGGAAGATAGACAGCAAGCCCCACAAACTCAAAGCATTGTCATTCACGTTCCCTGGTGATGTTCTAAAGCACGAAGCTGCAGGGATCTCTTCTACCTGCGCTGCAGTTCTTTGAGTCGTGCGTAGGCCTGCTGCCACTTGGGATCTTCCTCTTGGACTGGGAAGCCATTGGAACCGTACATGTGATCATTGTCCAGGCTGAGGGAGTTAAAGCGGGCAGCCATCTTGTCCTCTGAGAGGAAGTGCTTAGAACCTGGTTCCCTGTGGATACAGGGATAGAGTGAAGGCAACTGGCAAGGAATTAATGGTATGTTTGTCACTCAGTGCTACACACAGCCCTTCACATTCCAGCAAGTTACTACGAAATGAAGGATTCCACAGAGTGGTATGGTATTTCGTGCTATGCTTGGACCCTCCTTGTACTGCACTGTGCCCGTATTAAGCTGGACAGAGAGATTTCAATATATTCAGCGGTATCTGAGGAAAGGAGACATGACCTCAATTCCCGTGAAGTGAAGTTCATAACACCCTAGTGAATATGAGAGAGCCTACTGAGTTAAATATACATGTAAATATGTCTTTAGTGGGTGGCAGCTTGTTCACAGTGTACTAACTTCTACAGAATTGTCAAGACTGAGCACGTACTGGGAAAATAGTAAGATCTAATTCCAGAGGGAGTCACATTATATTTTGCCAGCTAAGGTGCCACTGGAAAGTAAGATGCAGATCATGCAGAGTTCCAACTTGTATGCACAATGAGGAAATAGGATTATGAAGACACAGGGGGCTCTCTCTTTGTGAAACTCCCATCATGCACTGCACTGACGTTATCTTCCCTTCACCTCCCCCCACACTTACTGGTCTCGGTTCTCCAGGTGCCGTTTGAAAGCAAGGGATGCAGGCCGGCAGCTAAAACAAGAGGTTTAGAGTTACATTCAAGGGCCAAAAATCCCACATCCTTGTTACCTTGGTCAACCAGTGTAAGTTTCAGTCAAAACTGTCACATGTCCCAAGCACAGCAGCCATTCAAGGCCTTTTCAGCCTGTTGCCACAATTTTTTCCTCTTTCCCACACCGCATTTTTATTACACCTTACAGTCTACCCCAAGATCACATACAATGTTTAGTTGTGTATCCTTTAACTTCACACTCTTCTCTTGTTTTCAGGGCCATTCAGCTAGCAAAGTGGGAAAGGCCAAGGGTTGCAGGTTTCCTCCTCCATTGTAATTTTGGAAGCACAAAATGGTAGCTATGCCTGTGAATAATGGCACCCCCCCTCTCTTCCCCCCCCTCATTTCCTTCCAACTTTTCCCAATAAAAATCACGGCTAAGTGAAAAGCATTTCTCACCGGGACCGCTGTGTACCAATGGCCTTCACCAGCATGTGGTTTTGCCGCATCCGTGGTATTCTGCGTGGCACTTCCTGCTGCCACTCAGAGGCCCTGCTCTGGCTCCAGCTCACAGCTCGACTTAGAAGGGAGCAGGGCAAGGGGTGGCTGGAGGGAAGCACCAGGGGTGGCTGCTGGCAGGTTGTGGGATCCATCTGTGGGGGGAAACACAAAAGAGTGTCAAACAGATGCTCCTCTCCAATGCAAGGCCCGAGTGTGATTCACTTGGCCCTGCGGAACATGAGGGAAACTTTTCTGGTTGAAGGTTTACTGATCACAGTTTGTTTGAAAGCTACCTTAAAGATGGCTCAGGGAGTCTCAGCTAGTGTTATGAGCCAATGGGGACAGCTTAAGTCATTGTCTTCCAGTGCCGGGGAGCCCTTTCTACTTCGACTGATTTGCAGAGGGGCCCCTAACACATTTGCCACAGAACTCCTGTGTGCCAGAGAGGATTCGGGGAAAGGAACCCATATGGAACCCAGTAGAAGATAACAGGATGCCCCTATAGTTTCTGGGGACAACCTATTACCTTCTACAGCTGCACAGTTGTTGTTTTTTGGGGGGAGCTGCCTTTCAAACATACTGTCATTACAGATCTTTTTATTCAGTCATTCCAAATAACTTCTGTCTGAAAACCACTGCATTTGAGCGGTGGCTCAGAACCTCCACTGGCTTCCTGTTCCTTTTGGGCACAATCGCAGGGGCTGCCTTTGCCCTAGAAAGTCTGGGCTTGGCTATCTGAGAGATGGTCTCCTTCCCTGCCTCCCATGATGGTCTCTACCCATTGGCTGAGAAAAGCTACGGGACTGGCAAGTCTGAACAGAGAGGGCGGGTTGTTCCTCACATTCAGCCCTTCTTTCACACAATCGCAGGGGCTGCCTTTGCCCTAGGAAGTCTGGGCTTGGCTATCTGAGATGGTCTCCTTCCCTGTCTCCCATGACGGTCTCTACCCATCGACTGAGAAAAGCTACAGGACTGCCAAGTCTAAACAGAGAGGGCAGGTTGTTCCTCACATTCAGCCCTTCTTTCCCAACAAACGTTTATTTAAAATACTGAGTCCTTGCTTCTGCTACTGTCCAAAGCGGCTTGCTCACCTGTTACTATCATACGGAGCCCCACTATATGTAACTAGGGCAGTAATGCTATGAGGCAAGGTTAAACCGCTGCTTTTGTTCCCACAATGTAAAAAGGGCCGAGATAATTCCCATGATCCTTAGCACCTGCCAAGTCAATTCAGGCTGAAACAAATTGCTTTGACCTGAATTCTACCTACCTAAGCTGGGTACACCCCTCCCCCTCCCCACACACACACACACACACACAATGTCAAGGATATAAGAGGGATCCCAGCAAGCTTTGCGCCTCCGAGTGGCTATTTAAGGCCGCTCCCATGATGCCTTGCAGCACCCACGCCCAAGCCAAGGGGCTCCCGACAAGCTTTGCGTCTAGTCATGGCCCTGAGGGCGGGGCTCCCGTACAGGAAAGGGCGGGGATAGCCCTTAAGGGGGCTGGGCTCCCCTCCAAACCTTTCCACGTGCGCGCGGTTGCGTAGGGAACGCGACGCCGGTGACGGTTAGTGAAAACGTACGCGGACGGGGGAGGGGGTTAGAACGAGGGGAATCGAGGTAGAATCTGAGCATGCGCACAAAGAATCGGACGCGGGATTTCCCCTCCCTTTACCGTCGAGAGATGATTGCTTACGCCTCTTGCCTGATATGTTAGTTCCCGGATTCTTCCACTGTAGGCGAAGAAACCCCGGGTTGTGAACGGAACAGTCCCGTGTCACGTGACGTTGGGCTGCGCGAGTTGTGCCGGGAAATATTGTGCCCTTTTGGGAACGTTTCTATGCCGGCAATTGGAATCCCGTCATGCCATGCGCTTCCTAGTCCCGTCTTCTCGTGACCGGAAGCCGCTGAGGCTCTTGGGTGTTGTAGTCATTTATTTACAGACCGCTGATTTGAAGGTACCATGAGGAGAATAGTCATAGATGAGAAAATTAGGACGTGGTTTGGAATATAATAGAAATGGAGGAAGTCATGGATACCCCCGCAATGCAGTGCAGCCAGCCAAATAATTTTAGGCAACTAGTTACATTCATTTCTAATGGGACTGCTGATCCTGGAAATGTCCCACTTCCTGTTTTTAAGCAAAACACTGGCTCTACTTTAAATATATTTTGGGTCTGTAGAAGTTCATTCTCTAAGAGTTTCAGGGTTCTAGTGCTGTGGCATGTAAATACACGCAGGCACAGCTTTTGTCTTCTCCCATTAACTGCTTGTCTTGACATTAATGGTTGGTGAGTGCTTAAAAGCTGTGGTTACAGATTTACTGTTGTATGCTTTCTGAAGACAAACTAACATGGGCCCCGGTAACACGGGCCGGATATCGCGGGGGGGAGGCATGGCTAATTGCCCCGGTGCAGTTTGATCCGCGATTACGCAATCAGACGCGCCCGCGGCACACCATGGGTCCTTCCCTTGGCACCAGCGTGTAAATGAGGGACCGGAGGGGAATGCCGCACGCCATCGCGATCACACCACGGGAGTCTGGAGGCAGCCCATGGCAAACGTTTACTAGTACCTTGGAGGTACTACTTTTTTAACACACATTTTCGGCGGAAAGCCACGGGTGTGCTCCACTTCCCAGATGTTGGGGTGTGATCGTGCCCAGATAATCCACCCACCATCCGTGCCTCTCCCGTGGCAACTTTGCCGTGTGACCGGGGCCATTGTCAGATTAACATAAAGCAGGCAGAAAGGAACCTTTAGAAATGCTTAAGTGGAACAATTCAGGCAGCAATAGTTCATATAAGAATGCAGGAAAGTATGTGGCAACCGCCCCCCCCCAAAAAAAAACCCCAACTCCTGAGCCTTTGACATCTGAACGAGAAGGGGGGGGGGGGAAATGAATGAGAAACAGAAATGCAGCCAGTACTGTTGTCCCCATTTGCATCAGCGGAGCTACCAGGCTGAATTATGTCCAGCAGTACAGAGGGATAATTCCAGGATGTGCTTCATACCTTCAAGCCAAGTCCATCCTGCAATGTGTTTCTTTCCACAGCCTGTAATTGTTGTATATACTGCATAGTCTCTGCAGACTGGTGGTTAGTCATGCAGCAGTAAAACAAAATAGATGCCCTTGCCAAGGAACCAGAGGGGACAACTCCATCGGGACGTGAGGGTTTTCCACAGCCTATCTTTTCTGTGCCTGGTAGACGTTACCCAACATGCAGTGTAGCTAAGCAGTGCCAATCTGGAGGAAATCCAAATTCATCTCTTGATTAATCACAACACATATTTTACTTGTGCCCACTTGAAAATTCTCCTTTGAGACTAAAAACCGGGCCAGATTCAGCAAGGCTAATCTTGGAATTACTCCCTCTCTTTGCTCCTCTCACCAGATGGATATTCAGCGGTCCCTTGAGCTCCTGCATATGACTGTCTATTCTCAGAGCATCTCTCCGTGTGGCAAATATTTAGCGGCTGGGAACAACTTTGGGGAGATTGGCATATTCAGGTAACCTGCAAGCTTCTGTTTAGACTTGGCCTCTTCTGTTTCATCAGCGCCCCTTCCTGGATTTCTTACACTTCACCTTTCTTCCCATCCAGCCTCTCAGCAGCACTGAGTTCAGAGGCCAAGGAAGAGAGCAAGAAGCCAGTGGTATCCTTTGCAGGTAGGTGACTTGTAAGGTGACGCACAAAGACCCACAAAGAGCTCCCAGGATGCATTGCACTTGCTCATCCCGACCTGATTACTTGTTAGGCTGCTCCTGGGAACTCCATGAAAACTTTCTAACCTGAATTGCCCTGACTAGCTGGATCTCATCAAAGCTTGGAAGCTAGGCAGAGTTGGCCATATGATTAGTACTTGGGTGGAGGGCCACCAAGGACAACTGTGGTTGCTGTGCAGAGAAAGGCAATGGCAAACCACCTCTGCTCATCTCTTGCCTTGAAAGCCCCATGGTCCTGGGGTCACAATGAGTCAGTTGCGTCTTGTGGTCACACAGTCAATTAGGAGTGATGGTCAAGTGTGGTCACACAGTCAATTAGGAGTGATGGAAAAATAGGTCAAACAGAGGTGTTCCTAAGATGAACTGTGCTCAGTGATGTCAAGCTGTGGCAATCCCACAATGCACTTCACCCCTCATGCTGAATGTGACCTTGAAACATGGTGGCTTCTTCCCACAGGCCACGATGGTCCCATCTATGCCATGGTCTCCACAGACCGTCAGCTACTGACTGCTGGTAATGGTGAAGTCAAGGCCTGGAACTGGAGTGAGATTGTGAAGAAGGTAAGGAAGAGTTCCTTAACCCCTCCCCCCCCTCGCCTGCCTCATTTCTTCTGTGGTGGTGTTAATTCCTTCCTGTCTTGTCCTCTAGGGCTGCAAGGAAGCCTGGAGCAGGAGGCCACCTTACGGGTAGAGCTCCGTCTTCCTCTTTCATTTGCATCCCGACTTTCTTCTCTCGCACACACATAGATACAGACGCAAAGTTCTGTTCTCTGCTTTTCTCCCCAGGAGCAGCCTGGAGGTGCCAGAAATCAACAGCCTTCAGCTCAACCTCAAGGTATGGTCACAGAGCAGTATGGAGAGACAGCTTGGTCCCTGCACAGCTGTTTGGTGCTCACAATCACTGGTTTTTTTCCCTCCCTTCCTCCAGGATAATAGTCTTCTGATGGCTGGGGGAGACTGTGCTATCCACATGATGGATCTGGAGTCCGGAGCCTTTACTGTGAGTCTGGAGGGGGTGGAGAGATTGTGTATCCTGTATTGAAGGCTGTCCCTGCAGCTGTTCTGATCTCAAGGGGCTCGTGCTCAGTGCTTTCTCCTTGTATCGTTCTAAAACTGAATAAATGACCCTAACCCCAAATCTGTCTCCTCTCCCCACCCTGAATTTTTTTGCCAGCTGTTTTCTGGGGTTTTAGTGCACATTTTCTTAGCGGGATTGAACAATCTCTGCAAAGCTGATCTTTCTGTCCATCGGGGTTGAGAAACCTTAATTCTAACAGAACAATTCCTGTATGCATTATTTCCATCTTCAGAGATGTCATCTCTGGCCACTGGATGCTGGGAACTAATAGTACTGGAGGAGTGGATCCTCCTGTTCTGTATGTGACCCCCTCTCCCATCCATGGCAGATGCCTCTTCACTCGGTTTGCTGTTGATACCAGAATACTGGCCGGGCTGTTTTTCTGATTCTGCCTGTTGAGTTTTGCACCATCTCCACTTTCATCTTGTCTTCAACATAGTGTGAGTATCGGGGCCACACAGATTACATCCACTGCCTGGCGCTTCGGGATCAGCTTCGAGAGTGCCTGTCGGGGAGTGAGGACGGTACTGTGCGCCTTTGGGGTGAGGACCTGTGGCCTCCATGTTCTCGCTGGTGTTTTTTCTCTTGCTCTTCCCTTCACATCTGGGCTGCCTGTTTTTGTCTGTGGTGTGCCTTAGTAGCAGCTTTGAGAGGTCCTGCCTCCATGTCCTGCCTCTGGAGGCAGGGCCTTTCGAACAGTGGCCCCTTGCACAGTCACACCCACCAGTATTTGGCTTTACAGTAGTTCAGGAAAATATGCAGGGCCTGCTGAGATTTGTCTGAACTTAGCCTGCTGTTCTCTTATCTGGCTAACTAGCACAGGTAATGTTAGGACCAGTGTTCCCTCTAAGCTGAGTTAGTGTGAGCTAGCTCACAGTTTTTTAGCCTCCGGCTCACACATTTTTGTCTTAGCTCAGGAAGGATGGCTCCAGAGCAAACTAATTTATGTAGTAGCCAAATCTCTTGCTCACAACTTTAATGCCAGCAGCTCACAAAGTAGAATTTCTGCTCACAAGACTCCACAGCTTAGAGGGAACATTGGTTAGGACTCCATTAGCTTTATGTTTTTAGATTTTGTTGGTGGCTCAAATATACTCTGTGCTTATATTGCAAGCTGCTTTAGAATGTTGGGAAAACATGAAAGATTATCTTTGGGTTGCTTTGAGTTCCCACCAGGGAGAAAAATAAAAAAAATAAATAACTGAATGCAAATGCAAACTCTGGATAACTTTCCCAGAATGCTCTGGGACCACCTGCCTCTACCTACGCTGTCTGTCTTTGATTATGAAATTGGAGGGGAGTTCCTGCCCGCCTTTGGCCTCTGTGGTGGGTGCGGATGATGGAGGTGGTTAACTGGGCACTAGCGTCACCTCTGGATCTCCGTTTTGTTTACAGATTTGCGTGCTGGAGGTCAAGTGCAGTGCATCGAAGTGCATAAATACGAGGTATCGGAAGGTCCTGGTTTCTTTTCTCTGCCCTTGTCTTGAGCTGTCTCCCTCTGCCCCAAAGAACAGAAAAGGCTGCCACTCTAAGAACACTTTCCTGGGAGTAAGGCCCCCCCAAAATAAAAGGAGGCTTATTTCCGGTTAGACCTGCTGAGTTGTTCCCCAGTTGTCTTTGTGTCCCTTCTCGCTCACTTGTCTGCTTTCGTCCATCTAGCCATGGTAATTTCTTTTTGGATTTACAAATTTAACAAACTTCACTCACCACAAACTGAAGCCTAAAAGGCTCCCGAGGCAACCTCCAACCAGAAATTAAAAGCAATAGAAATAATAATACCACAGCGCCCACAAGGCAGCCTGAAGGAAGCAGATTATAAGAGCTAAAAACATTCTAAAATAATTAAGAAACATTAGAAAGATTTTTAAAAAACAGCCATAAATCTTTTCTTGATTGTTTCCCCTGGCTTTGTTTTTTGATCGACTGGCTGGGAGAAGAAGAATGTTTTTACTTGGTACTTGAAACGAAAAAGGCCAGATGGAGGGTCATTCTCTGGATGGGAGAGAGTTCCAACTGAGGGAGGACCCACTATTGAGAAGACCCTCTAGCCCTGAGGTCTCGAATTCATTTGTTACCAGGGCCAGATCTGACATAAACGTATGTCACTTTGTCGGGCCAGACCATGTGAGCCATAAAACGTAATGCCAGATACTGGAGATATAAACTATAGACTACAGCAGCTGGTAAGCTCTGAGTTGTTGTATCTTCACTGCAAGGCCCCATGGGCTGGGAAGGGGGTGCAAAGGAAAACCCATATGAGTGGACTGGACAGCCAGCGGTGCAGCACTGGACAGACGCTCCCACGCTGCTTGACTGCTGCAGAAGAGATTGTTCTGCCGTGCTGAAGCCACAGTTGGGAGTGGCTCTGCCCACTCCCCCCCCCAGCAGTCTCCCGCTCCCTCCTTTGCGCTAGTTGCTCACGGGCCACATAAGAGCCCTGGATGGGCCGGTTCTGGCCCCCGGGCCTTACGTTTGACACCCCTGCTCTAGCCACCCAGCTCACCTCTGTCAGCAGGAGGCATACAAAGCCTGAGGGGTTAAGTCCTCTTTGTTGGGAGCAGGTGATCCTTCAAATGAGGACGAGAACTCTGAAATGAAGCGTTTCGCAAAAGAATTAAAAAGCATTTTTTAAGCCTGCAACTTTAAATCAGAATTTCAAAATGTGTGGGAATGTTAAACTCCTACACGATCACAGTGGCGTCTAACTGAAGCAAGATAAGCCTCTGGGTAAGCTAAGCATTCTGCATTTCCAGTAAGGCTGTTTAGGTTTCCGCTTACCAGATCGATCAGCAGCATTCCCACCGCCTTCTGTTTTCAACATTCACCTCCACTCCCCCTAGGAATGCAGCCGGCCACAGAACGGGAAGTGGATCCGTTGCCTGGCAACAGACTCGGACTGGATGGTGAGTGTCTCCGTTTCTGCTGCTGAATGAAAATTGCGAGCTTCCCCAAAGTACCCAAGGCTGGGATGTACCAAATTTGGGGGTTCCCAGCACTCGGTGGGCTTCAACTGTTCTTGGTTGACATCAGCTCCTCCTTTGGAGCGCCCTCTCTCCCCTCCCACCCCGTCTCTTTTGAAACTGAAGTAAGGTAGGACGTTTGAGGGAGAAGCTGTGGCTGAGTCTTCCTGCATCACTTGAGGGAACAACAGGGTTGTCGGGAGCGCTCCTGTTGTGAAGCACTTGTGGGTACCCCAGGCCCATAACGATTTTGGGGCCCTGCCCCCTTAATTAAAAGCCTAGGCCCCAAAATAGCCATATTTTTGAGCTTTGAAGGGCACTTTAGAGTGGCACCTTCAACACATCTCCAACAATCCCCCTTTCCACTAGCCCAGTCCTGCTGATAGACCACCTAGGTTACGGTGAGTCTTTCAGAAGCATTCCCATGAGCCTTTGGGAAACACGCAAAGGCTAATCGGGATGCTTTTGAAAGCTTCACCATGACCTAGGTGGTCTACGGCAGGACTGGGCTAGCGGAAAGGGGGATGATCAGCGAAGTGTTGAGGGTGCCACTCTTGAGTGCCCTTCTGAGCTCTCTTGCCCTGTGGAAGGAAACTCAAAAGGCATTTAAATGCCCTCTGAGCAATGCTCCCTCTAAGCTGTGGAGTCTTGTGAGCAAAAATTCTACTTTGCGAGCTCCTGGCATTAAAGTTGGGAGCGAGCGATTTGGCTACTGTGTAAATTAGTTTGCTCTGGAGCCATCCTTCCTGAGCTAAGGCAAAAATGCGTGAGCCGGAGGCTAAAAAACTGTAAGCTAGCTCACACTAACTCAGCTTAGAGGGAACACTGCCTCTGAGCTATTTTTTTCCCCTAGGAACTGACACGCTGGCTGCCCTGTCCCTTGAAAGGAAGGGCTAGAAACAAGCTCAGAGCCTCCCCCTTTAAAGACAGGCGTTCAGATGACTTAACTTAAATCTAACTGCCCCCTTAAAAATTTAAATGCCCCCCCCCCACAAATAATCCTGGCTACGGGCCCAGGGCATCTGAACCCTTCGTTCTTTCTCCTTCCCCAGGTGTGTGGTGGGGGCCCAGCACTGACCCTGTGGCACCTTCGGTCGGTCACACCCACCACCGTCTTCCCCTTGCCGCAGTGTCAGCAGCAGGTCATGTTCTACCAGGACCTGGTGAGTTGTCTGCCTCTGGGGCTGCCCTCCCACTCTCTTGCTATCGCATCCCCTTCCTTTCTTCCTCCTCTCGACCTCTGCATGGAAGGAATCGAAAAGCAGTGTTTGGTTGGTTTCCTTCGTTCGTTCTTCTCTTCTGTGCCGGGAGTCGTTCTGTTCTCCTCCTGAACGGCGTCTCCCGTCCTCCTTCAAAACTGCCTTCCACAGATCCTCTCTGCTGGCCACAGCCCAGCCATCAACCATTTGCAGATCAGCGGGGAAGTGAAGGCCCAGATCCCCTGCGTCCCCCGGTGCGTCCACTCACTTTCCATCAACGAACACTCCCCAGAGCACAAGGTACCCACTGGGTGGGGACTGGCTGAGGAGAGGGAGTGGGGAGGCCTCCAAGGCTTGGGAGATCTGGGTTTCTACAAGGGGAAGGGGGTCTGGGTGCGATGGGGGGGGGAGGCCTAGATTTGACAGGTGAGGCATCAGAACGTGAGTGGTGCTACCGAGGACAAGACCCAAGCGTGTCTGGGAAGTGGATTGCAAGTGTTCAGCCTCTGTGAGGCAGGCGCTTGCAATGCAGAGAGTGTAAATATTATTACTTTCAGTTTCTATACCGATCGAACCCCGAAGGGTCTCTGAGCGGTTTACATACACAAGTTAATTGCCTATCTAGGGCCACATTTTTACATCGGGAAGTGACTGCCTACCGGCACCCAGGCAGCAGTGCTCTGTTGGTATTCGGCTCCCCACCTTGGTGCCCCCTGGCACTCTTCCTGGCACCCGCCGAGCGTTTTCAGAAGGAAGGTGGGGCTTTTGCCTAGCTAGTCTTCTGATGGGCAGTGCAGATTTTAAAAAATGTTGCGAAGAAGAAGAAGAGTTGGGTTTATACCCTGCCCTTCACTTGGTGTCTCAGTGGGTTACAAACTCCTTTCCCTTCCCCTCCCCACAACAGACAGCCTGTGAGGTAGGTGGGGTTGATAGGAGGAGGAGGAGGAGAGGAGATTGAATTTATACCCCGCCCTTCACTTGGAGTCTCAGAGCGGCTTACAAACTCCTTTCCCTTCCCCTCCCCACAACAGACACCCTGTGAGGTGGGTGGGGCTGAGAGAATTCTGACAGAAACTGCTCTTTTCCAAGGACAGCTGTGCCAGAGCTTGTGACTGACCCAAGGTCACATCAGCAGGTGCAAGTGGAGGAGTGGGGATTCAAACCCAGTTCTCCCAGATTAGAGTCCGCACACTTAACCACTACCACTTAACCAGTCTGAGAGAACTGCTCTTGAGAGAACAGCTCTGAAAGAACGTGTGACAGGCCCTGGCAATGTTCCCTCTAAGCCGTGGAGTCTTGTGAGCAAGAATTCTACTTGGTGAGCTACTGGCAGTAAAGTTGTGAGTGAGCCATTTGGCTACTGCATCAATGAGTTTGCTCTGCAGCCCTCCTTCCTGAGCGAAGACAAAAATGTGTGAGCCGGAGGCTAAAAACCTGTGAGCTAGCTTACACTGACTCAGCTTAGAGGGAACACTGGGCCCAAGGTCACCCGGCTGGCTGCCTGTGGAAGAGTGGGGAAATCAAACCTGGTTCTCCAGATTAGAGTCTGCCACTCTTAACTACTACACCAAACTTTGGCAGCAGTTGCCACCACAGTACAAAGGTCTTCACCGTGTGAGGGGAGGGTGAGCTGCAGCAGGCATTGTGTGGCTGGGTCCGCCTTCTGCGGCAGCCATTTTTATTGCAGCTGTGCCCGTCACACACAGTCAAAATGCCAAAGGTGCCCAGAGGCTCAAAAAAGTTGAGGACCCCTGGCGTAAAGACATAGTACTGAGTGGGGTTCTGGGACGGGAGCATTTTCGATTTAATAGGCAGGACCCAGGATTGCGATAACAAGAAACTTTCTCCCGCAAAAGGGCGTGCAACACTGCTTTCCCACGGGGGGTGCCGTAACACATTTTGGAATGCTGGTTCCGTTCCATGAGAACTGGAGGCAGAACAGGCGTGTTAAAGAGGAGGGGATCCTGCGCACCCTTTACTCACCCCCATCCCCTGCTCTCTCCCATCAGGTGCTCACTGCGGCTGGAAGCAGCCACCGGATCGACGTCTTCACCAACTTCAGTTACCGGGCCTTTTCCCTCACCTTCACCTAGTGCTCTCCCCTGTGCCTTCTCTGTCTCTCTCTCTCCCTTTGGGTAAAGCTATTTCTAGTCTGGTATCAGAACAGGGAACACCTGGGCAGATCCACCTCCTCGGGATCGGCTGCTTTTGGCGAGCGTCACCTATCTGTGCCGCCCAGTTAGGAAGAGCTCTCCTTCTCCTCATGCTTCCCGGGGAGCAAAATTTCACAAGATTTGTGTGCCAGTGACATTCAGCCTTTGTTGCACCCAGAATTGCCACCCCTTCTGCAATCGACAGTGTCAAACTTTGGAGCTCTGGGGTAGAGCAGCCTTTTTTTTGCTCACCCAAGCCTAAAGCTTGGCCTCTGGTGCTGATTGGCGGCCTGTGGGGTCTAGGCCTGCAGGGAGCTGCACACATAGACCTATCTCTGAGTAGTACAGCACAGTGGGAGGGATCTTTACCTCTCCCTTCAGTGCTGGTTGGAGGAATACGTGGCTTTCAGCATGCATCTCCAACCCGGTTTTCACTGCCTGTTCCCAGACGTTATAAGCTATGGAACACCCCTTTGCAAATCAAAGGGACCTGAAGGTATGCAGTTAATCGGGATTAGAGGAAGTGTTTTTCTTCCAGTCCTCAGTAACACCCCCCTTTCCCAGGAGTCTTATCATTTCAAAAGGACCAGAGCTCTTAAAAATTTATGGCATCTTGAATTCCAAGAGGGGAGTAAATTTCAGCGCTCTCCCCCCACTATGGTCAGTTCACATGGTCTGAATAAGGCCTGTTCCCTTCCCTCCTCTGTTTTCTGTCTTCCTTTCCTTTTTTTTTTAACTTTCCAACTTGTGCTCTACTGCCTTCAACATTCGATACCACCTGGAGTGTATGAGCATGCTCAGTTGTCACTATGTACCATAGACAGGAATGCATTAAATCGCTCTCAAACTGAAATGCCATTACAAGCAACTTTTGTTGTGTAATTGATGTGTTTTCAATGGACCTAGAGGCGGCGGCAAGGGTGCGGAGAATTCCACTGTCTGGAAGCCCTTTAATTGTTTCTGTTTCAGTGTTCTGTGCACCTGCATGGCTTTAAGGTTTTTCTTCTGTAATCCCGAGGACTGGAAAGAAAACAGTGTGGTCCTCAAAACTCTGGGAAAGCGAATGACAGAAAGAGCCAGTTCTGAACTTCAGAACAAGCACAGTTACTTGGGAGTCTTCGCTCAGGACTCCAGCCCTTTTCCTCCACCCACTTCCACCTCCTCATACATGTGTTCCTCCTCCATCCTCTTAAGCTCCTTCAGATCTTCCCGATGCTTTTCTTTAAACTGCTGGAGAGCCACCATCTTCTCAGGGCCTTCACCGACACCGCGGACCCCTGGCTGGCCATCCGGAAGCAGGTATCCCACCACGTCGGCCAGCATGGCTTCAGCTTCATGGCGGAGGGCCTGCAAGGCTAAGGGCCCATAGATGGTGGGGCCAGATTTGTAGCCCTTGCTGAAGAGGTTGACGGGCCGCAGGAAGTAGTGAGGCAGGTTGCCTTTTGCGAGGGTGTGAATGAGGATCTTCAAGAGATGCTGCACTGAGGACAGCAGAGTTTCCCAGGGTGCCTCCTGAGGGTAGATTTCACAGCACCACAGCAGAAGGGTCTGCAGAAAATGGAGGGGGAAGAGAGATGTTAACCCGATCCCACAGTCACCATTGGCAGGGGAGGCCCCACAACTTCCAAATGCGTGAATGGCGTTTAGGGGGCTAGGTGGGTGTGCTTCGATATCAGGGACTGTGGGGAGGGAACTGGGGTGTCCGTGCACAACAGACGACTAGTTAGCGAGGCTGAGAGGAAGAAGAGTTGGATTCATACCCTTCACTCAGAGTCTTAGAGCGGCTTACAATCGCCTTCCTTTCCCCTCCCCACAACAGACACCCTGTGAGGTAGATGGGGCTGAGAGAACAGCTCTGAGAGGACTGTGACTGACCCAAGGCCACCCAGCGGGCTGCACGTGGAGGAGTGGGGAATCAAACCCGCCGGTTCTCCAGTTTAGAGTCTGCCACTCTTAACCACTACGCCAAAGGTGATTATACAGTCGAGGTCAGCAGCTGGCATTCTTCAAGAGCGGTGTCTCAGGCAGCGTGGAGGGAAGGGTGAGAGGAAAAGAGTATGGGATGAAAAGATGGGGGGACCCCAAGAGGAGCTGGTGGGGGATATTGCTGGTTGGTCATTTTGAAAAGTATGGATTGGGGGGGGGGGGGAAGCTGCCTTTTCACATCCATCAGTAAGCACTGCACTTGCATCAGGCGTTTATTCCCGCCGCCCCCCGCTTTGCCATGCTGTCTTAAGGGCTAGAAACACGCTTGTGCTTTAGCTGAAAGACATGATCAGGCTGCCCAGCACAAGTGGACAAAGAAAGGATTGCTTCATCTACCCCCCCACCCCCACCCCGGCACTGCATGATGGGTTTGCTTGGCAGATTCACCTTGAGGTGGTAGGAAGATAAGAGCTTGCCGTATTCTGGCCTCCATCTTGTACTGCTGACAAACTTCAGGAGTCTCAGAGCTGCCCGTCTCTGTCCCCCATCAGCATCAACGTCCTTTAGAAGCGCAGCCTCGGCGTTGCTAAATGAGAGCCTAGGCACAGAGAGCGAGAGAGAGAGAGGTCGGGAGCCTCCTGTATTCTTGGCAATGCTTCACTGTCCTGCTACTTTAGTTTCATGACATCTTAATGTTCCAGAGGTAGGAAAGACCCCCAGTCCTGCTCTAAGCGAAGGCAGTCCTCCCATGCCTTCAACAGCTTGTCTACGTGGCACCTCCAAACCAGAGAGAATAATGGATGCCTCTCTAGAAAGCAGACCAGTAGAAAACTCTATGGCATGCATCTATGATTTCATTGTCTGTGTCAGTGGAAATGTTTTCCTGTCTGTAAAGAGGGCGTGTAAATTGTGAATGAGAGTCCTCCCCCTTAGGCATAACCTCTGCAGAGGTACCCACCTGTGTCCACCTGCGGTCATAGGAAAGCTGGGGTAGTGTGGGGTTATCTCTGCAACCCCCCCCCCCCCCACACACACACTTGATTCTGGCAGAGTCACGGGAAAAGCTGCCACCTCCTTTGAGGAAGATGCACTGTCACTGTGTTTGAAATTTAATTTGGAGTGGAGTTAGTTCCTCTGGCATATTCTTTGGCACTTGAATTCAGCTTGCGATAAATTAGAATTTAACTTTAGGCATAGATGTTCTCAGGCATAGATGTCGTTGCAGTTAAGGTCCAAACCAGTTGTAATCCAGGCACCTATCTGTTATTCAGCAG